TATAACACTGTTGATTATTCCGTTTTATATGAATTCCATGTTGTACGAGTCACTTAGATTTTACAAATACGTGTGCCGGGCTGTGAACAGCTCACGTATTTGTAAAATCTAAGTGACTCGTACAACATGAAATTCATATAAAACGGAATAATCAACAGTGTTATAGGGGGTCGACTGTACTGTAAAAAGAGTTTTTCACCCTCTACAATGTATAAATACAGTAAAACCTGTCCGAAGTGGAACTTGAATGAAAAAGGAAATCCCCACTAAACGGAGAGATTTTTCTATGTTAAAAAGAACCCTGTCAAACCGGAAAACTGTCAAAAATTCGGTACTGCGCGAGTCCGGCTTACACAGGTTTTATTGTATATAAGAAATGCCTACTTTTATGATTGATATGACTTTTTTGGCATAAAATCCACAAATAAGGCTTGATTTAAATTGCTGAGCAAGCTTAAATTCTCATTATAGAAAAGTATACAGTATATATATATAAATATATAGTTTAAGGCCTTAAAGGCCTTACACCTTTAGATTTATTAATATTTAGGAGCTTTTTTTATATTATAACAGAGCCACTACAGGTCTAAATTCAACACGCAGAGGGGCACCAAGCTTCATCAATTCGTGAAATTCTCATTTTTAATTCGAATTTCGTTTAATTTAACTCATTGCTTATTTTTAATCTTAGACATTTCGGGGAACAAATTTATTTAATTTTTCGTTAATCTATAAAAATTTCTGGGACGTTAATGAGAGATAAGACTATCCAGATTATAAGAAATATGACGACCTTTGAAAATTCGTTATAATTCTATTGTATATAAATCTTTCTTATCGATATTTGATAATTTTATTTATTTATTTCTATTTAAAATATTGACACACGGTTATATTTAACGGAAATTTTATATATTTCTCTACGTGATTTCAACTTTGAAAGTATTCTATATAAGTTATTAATTGAGAGAGGGTTTCAGCTTGTTCGACTTTGTTTGAGTAAACGGCTGGGGCTAAAAATACGGTTCGGGTATCAAATTAAAGCTCTTATTCTATAGATAATGCCGCTGAAGAGAAATTTCAGAAAGGTGAAATAGTTTAGGCGTGGCGAATTGGAAAAGATACAATGTTAAGTCCACCCGCCTGTTAACTTTAGCAATTTTTTGAGTTTTACACTTTCGTTATTGTACATACTGAGGTTAATAAATGTACATTTTAGTTACTAAGACCACCCTCTCTCGACTCAACCTCACCCTCTCCTACAACCTCAAAAGCCCGAGCAACAAGTGTAATGCAATACAATAAAACTTGTGTAAACCGGACTCGCGCGGTACCGAATATTTTGGCAGGTTTTTGTTTTGAATAGGTTTTACGGTATGTAGGTAAAATTTCATAAAATTTATAATTATATATAATTAAATGATAAAGAAATTATAATTGCTACGAATGTAAAAGAAGTTCAAAATGGCTAAATCAACGTCACAGTTGTTTAGATCGCATAACAAGGATACAAGACCCACTTCACTCCATTAATTACCGGGTTGACGACAACAAAACAATTCGCTATATTTGCACAGAAGGTCATATCTATCCTAGAAAGCAATTCCGCCAACAATATCCTTTAAGCTTCTAACGATGAACCGCGTATAAAAGGGGTATAAAAATATAGAAGCTCATTAGTTAAGCATTCGCGAAATAACCAATGAATAAACAAACGAATAAGTCAAGGTTGGTTATACAATTTGTTATTACTTGTTTCAATTTAACGAAATTATGTTTATTTTTACAGAAAAAAATTAAATTAAATTACCATATATTCGGGTTTCAAAATTAAAGATAAAAAGTACTTAAAACAAGTAAATTACACTGTACTTTATCATTAATTGCTGCAAGATGTTATGTAGGAGGTTCATTAAATTCCTCATTCGTAGAAATACAGTCGAAAAACCTCTAAAAGACGGCCATTTTTCAAGAACGTTAAGCAAAAGCGTTTAAAAATTAACTGTTTTTGTCAGTGGCCGTTGTTAAGGGGGTTTGATTTTCGAGTGATTTGTTGTAAAATCTGACGTGGGTGGGTGGCTATTCCACTAAATATAAAGACTCCATTATGTTGTCGGTCGAAACTTTTGTATGTAATTCTTGGAACACATCATTATTGAAGTAGAAGATGCCTTTGATTTGAAATGTATTAAATTTTTCTTTAAATATAACTCTAATTATGTAAAGGAATGCTTTATGATAATCATTCATTATAAAAATTCAGAACTGACAGATAATTGAGATTACAACATTCATTCATACCACATGGCCATAGACAAAGGGAGTGTTGTTTAATGTTGACACTTCAGGCGATGATTCCAACACCGTTATAAGCTGATGAGATGAATTAGAATGGGTTACTATATATGTTTTACTAGACAATTAAATGATCTATCAACATACATACCAGGAATATTTTGTTTTTTTTTTCCTTAAAAAATCTAATATTAGTTTCAGTTATTATTTCTGTGTAATTAAAAGCGTGTTAAAGGTATTGGAGAATGTTAAAATTAGTGGACCCCCGTATAACACTGTTGATTATTCCGTTTTATATGAATTCCATNTAAAATAAATGTACGGAGCTTTTCTTCACACATTTAAATTTTATTGGGCTGAAATTACTAATAAACTAGCAACGAGTTGCCCAACTTTTCCGGCAACATTTAAAATTTTGATAGCGTCATCTGTTATCATATTTTATTTAAAAACTTTTTATATTTTTAACTATTATAAAACGGCAAAAAGCTTAATTTTCAGGGTAGGAATGGGTTGTATAAAAACATTGTAAATGCTAATAACTAGTAAAGTCGTTATTAAGTCCGACCCTACTGGAGATACACACGACTCCATTATCGCCTCACCCCCTCGACCTTTAACCACCAAAATTTAATAGCATCAAACCCTCTAACAAACAAACCTCCTTGCCAAATTTCAGAAATTTTCGACCAAAGGCACAGGATTAATTAAGCTTTAAATTAGGTAACAAAATGCGCCCCGCACACTGAAAACACCCAAATATTTCTGCACTCTGAACGTCTCGAGTCAAAAACGTAAAAATCTTGGGGATCGCAGTAAGTAATTGCTCGTATTATAAATACAATTCTATCGTTACGTTCTATTCTGTCTAATGCGGTTCATTACAACATATTTATTGTTTCTTCAGCTTTGCGTACATGCTCAATAAGAGAAACATACGCTTTTTTCTGGCCTTCTTTCCCACAATATGATCTTCAAGCAATAATTCATAACAGATAATTGTGTTGCACGATGTTTGTTCCACCACATTAAAACAATTACAGTATATTTTTCCAAGAAAACGTTGTGGCAAAGCAAGTTTGTAAGTAAATTAAAACATTTTAATCGATTTCTGCTTTGTTTCAGCATTCTAAAATGGTACAATGAAATATAACTTACGTATAGACCTCGACAAAATGAAATATAGAACAATGCAACACGAAGATGTCTTCCGGAAGGATTTTCTACGAGAAAATGGTTCCTCATCTACGTGTTAGACAGATGAAGAAACACAGAAAACTCCACGTGGGCGAGATGCAAACCCGCGATGCTCACGGTGTTCAATGATTCAATCCACTCGGCTGCTACTGGACTTTTTACAAATTAAATTGTGTAAAAATTTAGAGGCAAATATTCATATTAATTATTTATTTGTGACTAATTACATTAACACATTCACGAGAATCCAACTAGTCTTAAATCCGCGCTGTAGTCTTCTGAAGAAATGTCCACTTCTGTATCCTGAAAGTAGTTAAAACTAATGGAGATGTTATTGCTAAACATGTAACTTTGAATTTCTTCTTTATCTCTTGCTGTTAACAAATTACGTCTCGACCATATCCATAACGAATAAAGATGAGGAATCCCATCGATGATGCGATATATCGAATTCCTTGTAATATTCGGACAGTAGGAAATACTAAACCACTTCAAACGCAAAAGATAAGGTATGATCTTAACTATGGTATCATCATTAAGGCTCCTCGTAGACGATATAACAAGGCAATTTAACTTTGGACAATGAGAAAATATGGTAGGAAGGCAATCGTCCCAAGGATCTCCACGCATGTTTTCGATTTTCATAAATTCCAGATTGCCGAAAATTGGCTTGGTCGATTCAATGGATTCTTGATTTCTAAAATGAAGATGGCGAATGGAATAGAGAGAAAACGATGATAAATTTTGGCAAAGCCGTCCTATCGGATATATATTAACATATTTCAAATTGTTTAAACGTAAAACTTTAAGTCGTTGCCCGGATATCTGTAAAAATGTCAGAATTCCTTCTTCGAAAGTTAACTTGCTGTCAGATTTTTTAATACTTATGGACAAACGGCGAAGATTTTCGAAAGGAGGTAAGCTTATTAATTCGGCATCGTCGATGGAAACTTTATAAAGACAAAGAGAATTTAAATTAGGAAGAGAAAGCAATATCTGAGTGACGTCGATTTTCTCTTCACCGGGTGAAAGACATAAATCTATAATTTGCAATCGTTTGCCGAAATTTCTTTGCACGAAATGACATATCATGTTCATGTGAAGGAGTCTTTGCACTTCGATTTTCAACAGTGGCACATATTCTAAGAGAAACGATAACCCACGGGCTGTAATTTCTGTGTGATACACGCTTAAAACTTTTAAATTTTGGCAACGAATTTCATTTTTGTTCTTACAATCGCAGCATAAAGAGCGGATGCCCAAATCTGTTACCGAACAGAACGATATATCTAGAATTTCTAACGAAATGCAAGTTTTTCCAATCCATTCTAAACCAGAATCTTTCAGATTTGTTGCGTGCAAATCTAATTCGACAATATTTGACAAATGACTGATGATTCTATTAAGATTTTCTTCGGTCATTGACCCAAAACCGATATTAAAATAAGTGATACCCTGAAAGAAATAAATTGCAAATGAACCGCGCGTGTATTATCAAATGTAAAAAGTATATTAAGATATAAATTTAATTAAATTTAAAGAGGGATTAAGGCCTCGGCCTACTGTTCTAGGGAATCCGGGAGGACTTTCTATGAGAAACTGGCCCCTATTTAGACGTTAAAAGGGTCCACGTGGCCAGTCGGTTGGCCAGGTGCGAACCCAGTGTTCGGCGGTATTATCACTGGTGGACCAACTCTCATGCCCAGAGAGATGGTTCGTCTAAGATGTGTCGGGCCTCCTCACCCTCACTGCTCGGCCTTTCCAGTCGAACCCACGATAGGCCCGAAGAAAAGTCCTCTTAGAAGCTCACGGAGCCCCAAGTTATATTTTAGTTTCTAACTTTAAAAATGAAACAAAAATCATGATTTATATTATTTATAATTAAGAAATATTACCTTAGAAATTTCTATAAATTTTTCCAAAGGGATGTCATGGTTATAAAACGAGAGACGTATACTTTTGATTCCTTTTCTGAATAAACAACCGAGCACTTGTGGATTCATTTGAGAAGAAACATATCTTAACATAATTTCACATAGACTAGGTGCTGCAATAAACAATTACGTTTATCATTTTATTTGAAAAATTATTCGTAAATAAATTAGTGTCGATTTTATGCACGGGCCCTAGGATCTTGCACTTACAAGTATAAATATAACATCGTCCATACTATCTTTAAATCCAACACTCGAAATTCGGTATTGGCTAGGGCCTATATAGATCTTTTACAGTATAAAATTAGCGTGTGATAAGAGTCTACAATATACAAAAGGGACCTGCTAGTCTACGCTCGTCTAGGGCCTTGCTCAATACAAAAAACCGTCACTGTAAGAAAGTTAAAAAAAAATCTTACGAAATGCCTGAAATAAAATTTCGGGCCCTATATGTAAACTTCTATAATAATCTAAAATTATATTTAAATTATTTCGGATGTAAGAGATGCATCTTCGAAACAGCGTGTTCCATTTGTCCATATTCATTTAACATAAAAAACAATAGAATTATAACTTTCTTTGTTAAATTATTCAATAATGCTTATTTTAATTTATTCATTTTTCTTTATTAATTTAAATAAAATAATAAACTTGCAATTACGGTCCAACCTCTGATCGACGGCCACTGACGGAAATGTAGAAAATGGCCGTTGTTCGCAGGTGTTAACATAATCATTGGTTGCAATTTGAAAAAAATTGTAGATCTATAAATTCCCATTCGTCTGTCTGTCTATCCGTCCTTCCTTAATCTCGAGAAAGGAGATAGATAGATGAAATTCGAGAATAGATATGGAAGGTATAGAAAAAGAGGGCCCGGATTAACTATATAAAACCTTCCGATTTACACCGAAAGTTATGTTATTTCAATTCAGAAATTTCAGCAGTGTGTGTGTGGGGGGCAGTCTTCGAAGCTTAATAACTCCTGAACTTTTTGTCGAAAATTTCTGAAATTTGGCAAAGAGGTTTGTTTGTTAGAGGGTTCGATGCTATTAAATTTTGGTGGTTAAAGGTCGAGGGTGCGAGAAGATAATGGGGATTGTGTGTATCTCCAGTAGGGTTGGACTTAATGACGATTTTATTAGTTATTAGCATTTACAAAACTCATCCCTATCCTGAAAATTAAGATTTTTGCCATTTTATAACACTTAAAAATATAAAAAGTTTTAAAATAAAATATGATAACAGATGATAAAACCTGTGTAAGCCGGAATCGCACGGCACCGAATTTTTGGCAAGTATTTCCGTTTTGAACAGGTTCTTTTTTAACATAGAAAATCCCTCCGTTTCGAAGAATTCTTCCCGTTTAGGCATGTTTCCGTTTTATTGAGGTTCCGTTTTGGACAGGTTTTACTGTATTAATATAAAACTATAATTATCATTAATTACCATAAAAATGTGGTTTGGCATTTTGATCTACTGATGAGAAAAGTGTATTAATTTTAATATTTAAGCCTTATTAGCATTCATGTAAGTCTTTAACTCTTCACAGGTTGATCTGAAAAGGCTTGTATACAAAGAAATTTGTACATTACGTAACATTATTCAAGGTACAATATGTGACAGTTGACATTGAAGCAAATGTATGACTTCAATTCTTTGAAATTAAAACAGGTTTTTATATAAACATTACTTTCATTCTTATTTTTATTCCACATTTTCTTATTTATAAAATGTTTAGTACAGTAAAACCTGTGTAAACGGGAATCGCACGGTACTGAATTTTTTGTAAGTATTTCCGTTTTGAACAGGTTCTTTTTTTTAGCACAGAAAATCGCTCCATTTCGAAGAATTCTTTCCGTTTAGGCAGGTTTCCATTTTATTCAGGTTCCGTTTTAGACAGGTTTTACTGTAATTTTAAAATGTATAAAATATTAATCGTTTAATAAGTAAATGAATGCTGTGAAAAAATATATATTAATTGAAATTTGAGAATTTTTTCTTCATCCTGGAGTGAGATTTATTTTCAGTGTAATTTGATAATCAAATAACATGAATTAAACTTGTATTTTGTAAATCAGGCATAATTTAATGCATAAATGAAGTTTTACTTTCGAATTAACAGGTTAGATTACACTATTGCTATGTCTAATTAATTAAATATAACTTATTATAAGTAAATTACTTGGTTAAATTGCTCGTTATGTACAGGTTATTATGTTAAATAATGTTTAAAACCTAAATATATTATTGAAGATAATGAATCTTATTAAAACATAATACAGTCGAACCTGTAATAACGGCCACCTCTTAACAGTTTTCAAGCATTTTTTTTAACAAAAATGCTTGCAAAATAACCTACGAACAACGAACATCCCCTAATGTGGACCATCTCTGAATAACTGGCATTTTTATGTCCCGTCAGTGGCCGTTATTCAGAGGTTTGACCGTATATAAAAATTTTTTAAAAAGATAATAAATTAATATTGTAAAACATAATAGAGTAGAACTTCCAATAATGGGCACCTGTAAACAGCGGCTATTTATTCAGGAGCGATTTTTTTTTAAACAAATAGCCGGATACCGTGCGATTCCGGTTTACACAGGTTTTACTGTAGGCCTAAATCAAATTTATTACGTTTAATTAATAATAAAAATATAATTGAGATCCGAATTACAGTAAAATCTGCGTAAACCGGAATCGTACTGTACCGAATATTTTTTCCGACAGATTTCCGTCTCGAACAGGTTCTTTTTAGCATACGAAATAGCTTCGTACCGAAGAATTTTTCCGTTCGGGAGGGTTTTTTTTATTCCGGTTCCGCTGTGGACAGTTTTTACTGTATATTTCATGAAGAAAATAATTACGTAGACCCTTTAGTAGTGTATTATATTGATTCATCTCGTGTTAAACAATCTTCAGAAAGAAATATCTTGTTAATAACAATGTTTAACGTGTCTAAACACCATTATTTACAATCCTTCTCCTGTTTTCTACAATTGTATAAGGGTCGTAGCTTAACAAGAAACTTTATCTTCATCTACTAAATAACAGGTTCGAGTAATCACGATATTCTAATTCCTTCACGACCGAAATCTTTAACAATATTACTTACTTTCCATCTGACAGTTAGTTTTTTTTTTTTATCGCTGCAGCAAAGAATTACGAGGGAGAAGTGTGGCCTTTATCTGTAAAAATACTTTAGGCCTGTATAATTTACAAACACTTCTCTTTCCAGGGTGATATCACCCCCAAGAGAGATCGTATGAAATCAAAGACCCTATTAATATGAACCATTAACATATGGGTGAGGGTCCTATTAACCAAATTATGGTGACAAGGGCCTTCACTCTATTAACCGTAATTTATTAAACAAAAGAAATCGAATTTAATATAACGTTATCTAGTGGCAGCTTCACTGGGCCTTAGACAGATTTGAATTAAGAAGCCCTATATACACAGTGTTGACTTCAAACTGCATCATGCGCCCGCAATCTAGGGTCACAAATATCGCCCAAATTTCTTATGTATTAAGGGAAAATAAGGATTATTTTTTCCTTTTTAAATTCATTTTATTAACTTAAAAGTACCGGTATAATCATTTTTCCCATTGGGCATTCTATGTATCTTAAATAATAAAAGAATTTTCAACAATGAGTTGCATAACTTTCCCAGCCAAACTTTAAAATTGTATGTAGTGCCATCTGTTATGGGATTTTATTTAAAAACAGTATAATTACCATAAAATAACAAAAAGCTTAATTTTGTGGGAAGAGATGAGTTTTATTTTTAAAAAAAATTGTAAAAATAACCAGTAAAATCCGATCCACTCCAGATGTGACAAGTAAACCCCTCTATCTTCCCTCCCCCTTGACTTTTAACCCCCAAAATTTAATAGCATCAATGCCCCTAATAATCAAACCTCCCTGCAAAATTTTAGAAATTTTCGGCAAAGGGCATACGAATTATTAAGCTGAACAAAATCGTGCTCTTCTCATATACAAAAAACCCAAATCTTGGGGGTCATTTTTTGACTGATGGCCCTACTTTTCCTGTTATATATTAAAAAAATAAAATAATACATTTTAAAAATGCTTTTTTAATAAAAATACACTGAAGAAACCTCATAAATGCAAGTATCCAGGGCCTCTCGGAGGTCTGAGATCACTTCTGAAAGAGATTAGATGGGGGCCTAATCTCACCTTTTTCGGGCCCACATATCAATTCATATCACTTATTAATACCTGATATCACTTCTATGTACTAAAATGTATTACAATGTAAGATATCCATTGCAAAATTTCTATGGTTTCAGTTTACATAGGATAATAATGTATTGATTGTGAACAGATAAGAAATTATATTACATAATTAAAATAAATTTATGTATAAAATAAGAATAATTAATAATAAAATTTACTAATTAATAATAATGGTTTGGCATTTTG